GGAAGATCGGTTCGCCTGAAATTGTCATAAAAGAGTGAAAGCGCTCCAGCATAATTCCAGGTGTTTTGTTTTTTTGGGGGGTATTTTTGTTGTTGATTTTTTGGGTTGTTTTTTAATTATCACTCTCATTTTGGATGGTAAAAAATGGAATTTGTGTATTAAAAAAAAACTTCTTTCCTTTCAGTTTTTCTTTTTCCGTTGTTGTGTCAATGCGTTCCTTCTCCTTCCTCGTGGGTGGTTGGTGGATGCTCTGGTGTGTTTGCTTCTTTTTTACTATCAAACATCTATCGTCTCTATTTCCCCTCCTTCTTTTTTGTGTTTGTTATTCTCTTGTAACACTTATAATCTTTGGCACATATGTGACCTTATTGTGTTGCAAGTGCCGTAAAACACGAACTAAAACTAAAAACTTCTCCTTCCTCAAAAGCCAAACGATTTTCGAATGGACGGTTGTGTTGTAGTAGCACTGGTGACGTCATGATGTTGTGGTTCGCTCTGATTGGACGTACAGACTGTTGGATGTGGGTGGTTGGCGGGTGGGTGGTCTGGGGAGGTTTGCTCCTTATTTCTTGTCTTACATCTATCGTCCTTGTCTCTCCTCCTTCTTTTGTTTATAAATATTTGTTACTCTCTTGTAACACCTCTAATCTTCTGGCGCTCATATGACCTTATGCAGTTGCGAGCGCCGAAAAACCTCTACTAAAACTAAACCTAATGTATTTATTATTATATGACCCAATTGTATTGGAAGTGCCGTAAAACGCTTACTAAAAAAAATACTAACTTAAATAAAGAACTGTTGGGTAATTGGTCAGCTGACATTTTCTACATACCTGTCTTGATGAAGCGGCCGCCCGCTAGACTCACTGCACGGACGTTTTGAGCCGGCGTTAATGACCAGGGGTGGGTTATCAGCCGGAGATAAGATAATTGGATTGTATTTTGTCTTCCGCTGGACGAGTAGGTCTGAGACTGGGGGAAGCATAAATGTACTGGCTAGCAATACTAGTACTAGCTTGTTATTTAGTCTTGTTTGAAATGGTGTGTAAAAATAGCTTTGGTTGTTTTGTTTTTTTTAGTCGTTTCCATTTGTCGTTCCTGTCGTTGTTATTCTGGTTTCTTGTTCATGTAGCCGAGTTTTTTGTTTTATAAATGCAGTATCTATTCCTTTTTCTTTGGACTATACTGTCGTGCTTATGATTTGACTTTGTTATAAACATTTTCTTTAGAAGTGTGCAAGTGTGCGTGTGTGTAAA